TGAGAATATGAGAAATTGAAACGATTAGAACAGAACAACGGAATGGAAACCACCAGAAAGAAAAGCTCAAGGAAGACTCTGGAAAAGACCTAGGGTTTTTATCCCATTTTTGTTAATCAGCCATAATTTTATTTCCCTCGAATTATGATAAACAGCTATAAAACTAATTCAGTTTTCCTGTTATCGGTAAGCCATCCATTTCAAGTAAATCCAGTGTAAATATTCCATTTTACTATAATATCATCATAAAAAATCTATAAAATCCAACAAATTAAATTTCACGTGAAACGACGAGTTGTGAACTCCACTTTATGATTACTGGAAATGCGTCGTAAAAACCTATGTTCTTTGGACCAATTACATTTTCGACAGGAACTGAACAATAATAATAATATGTGCACAGTAGTCGGCGTATTATTATTTGTTTAGTTTATCGTGCGGGAGGTCGACGAGAGTGTAGTGGCGAGTCGATGTTTTCCATAATCTTTTAAAACCCGCCGTATATAACCCGCAGGATTTCGAGTGTTTTTATTGGACAGTTTGTGGGTGTCCTAAAATAACAAATACCACCTTAAAATAAATACATCGCCACCACCACGCATTTTCCCGCGAAACGTTTTAGTGTGTGCATAATAATGTACATAAAGGTAGGTACTTAAAAAAAAACGTCCAAATCGTCTGATTATTGTTATTTTTTAATTTAATTTTATAATTATTATTTTGAAAATTTAAATAGGTAGGACCAGTAGAGTTATTAACATCACATGTCGTCATTTCGAAGATATTTTTTTTTACTTTAAAAGGATACACGCCTACCTAATAAATAAATAGATAAATAAAAAAAAAATTCTATATATTAATTAAACTCCTTTTCCCCGATACAGAAGTTTATAAAAAAAATAATAATAATATTTACATTATTCCAGAATCTATATGGAAATGTTTTACTCGTGTAAGAAATATTTTTTTTATAAACTAAACCTATTTAAAATTGATCGTCTTCATCCATAATGTAAGTATACGAGTTAAGACTTTTTTTTAGTACACAACGACAAAGGAAAAAGTTAAAATTTAAATTCTGAGTGGAGCAAGCAATGTATGGTTTTACAAATTTACAATGATGTTAATTTTTACAAATTTTTTATCTGTGAACAACTTTTCTACCTGCAAAAATTTTGCTCCGATTTTTAAGTATAGAACTTTTTCTAAAAGGAATTTGGACTGAGGTGGTATTTTAGGAAGGTCAATTTTTTCCAGGAGTTTTCACAATAAATGGAAAAACCTGAGAGAAGATATAGGAAAGTGGGAAAATGTACGAAATGTATTATTTTCAAATCGTAAATATTACGGTCTGAACATGTGAAACCGCTTAGAATCGTTTTTCATTAGCAATGGTTAATCGTTACGTACAAATATACAATAAATTTCCCCTCTACTTTTCCAACTTCTTACCTACAACAGTGCCCCCCCCCCATCGTGCGAAGTATGTCTGTTTGTTCTTAATTACAATACTATAACGAGAAAAATATGTCCCTGATCTAAATGAACAACGTGTACAATTTATGGGGCGGAAATCATACTCAAAAGACTACGTAAATAAAAATTTCTTGCATATACACAGTTTTATCAATTTTATTAATTTTATTAGTTTTAAAATTATGACAAGAATCGTAAAAACTACGGCATTGCCAAACATGTTTAACATTTCTCAGAATTGTATTTCGTATTTCTCAATAATTTTTCATTGTGTAAAAATATTAATAAAATAAAAATAACTTTATATATCCTATGGCAGTTGCATATCCACAGCAATATCAGCTCTTTTTTTTTTTTTTTTTTTTTTTTTTTTGTACCTTTTCAATTACAGACCGAATTGGCGAAATAAATCAAAAGGATCACTAAACGTGTCATTGAACAAAAGAAGCAGACTAAGCAAAAAATAAAATAGAAGCAACTACAATTGTATACTTAAAAAAAGAAGCCAAGAAAAATAAATAAAATAATAAAAATAAGTAAACATTTGTACGTTCTAAACAAAGATGGAATTATAAGGTAGCCAACTTGATATTTAGAACGGAGTAGAATGGGATAAGGAAATACATTAATGGAGACAAGTGATTGTTGCGGCAAAGGGCTTAAATGGTTTTTAAAACATCGAAGAAGAAGAAGAAAAATCATTAATTGTACCATTTTTTTCCATTGACATTTTTCAATTTTTATTTAAAAATTCTTGAAGTTTTACTAATTTGCTATCATTACAGCACAGTTATTTAACGATTATAGATAAAATTATGGTTTATTACTATTATTGGTTAAGTCTGCAAAGACTGGTGAGTGATCATGAGATCCATAGCCGTATCCTGCATTCGAGGTATTGCTTTTAGTTCATTTTTAATGGAAGATGACTTCAGAAAATGTTGGTTATTAGTATTGATAATGACACATCGGCCACTCAAAGTGCTATTTGTTGACTTTGGAAATTTGTACATGTTTGTTTTAGAGTATTTTTAGACGATTTTATGGATTTACCGTCCATATTAGTGCATATTACTATTAACGCGCAGTTATACTGTCGGGCCAAAAGTGTCAAGCGGCGCCATCTGACAGCCACTTGATAGCCGATAGTAAACTATTATATACGTATACATTACTATATATCGCTTAAAGGTGTAACACCATTAATTTTATGTATTTAATATTCAAGTATTTTCTATAATATATTTTAAGTATATGACGAATACACTTATCATATCCCACACAGAATTTTTGAATCATACCACAGTTGTGTAAATATTTAAATTTGAACACTACAAATTGACAATTAATACAATATTAAATATACAGAGTGATCAATATATCGTAGGACACTCATTATCTTAGAAATCATTAACTTTTTTCGAGATACCTTTTATAGAACATTTAAAAAACAAGCAACTAGACAATTTTAAATTTATGCTTTTTTTCAAGACCCATATTTTTGGAGGTAAAACCACTACCTACTTTTGGTTTCCAAATGACAACCTATATTAAACATTTATGTACTAAGTTTAATATAAATATTATTACTTAATATTTATAGGTACTACAATAAATTGTATTGAAATAATAAAAAACATTTTAATCCTCATGCCTACTTTGTACTAAATAACTGTTGTATATAATTTAAATTAATTGCCTTAATTATAGTAGAGACGAGTAATTGAAAAACTCACGAGTTGTGATGGTGCTCTTAAACTGATCTGAAAAAGTATCAAACGCCGAGACTCGAGGAGTCGAGGCACTAGATATTTTAATATAGTGATCTTCTCTAATATTTATTTTATCCTAAAATTGCTATGCTTTTTACAGTGTCAACGTCATCGCCAAAACGTATATTTTAAACTTCGAAAAGAGTGAAAACATATTTAAAAAACATAACGTCTGAGATTTGAACCTTAATTAAATTAAAATATATTTAATATTTTTCTATAAACTTTCTGTGATTAAATTGTAGTTTGATTCTTTATTTTTTTTATACACAGAATCGATTAAAGGTTCTTGTTATGTTGGTTTATAAAAATGTTAAAATTGATTCTGAATAAGTTCTTTAATGAATTAGGATTAAGGCCACGTATAGTGGATCTATTATTGTGGTTTATGCTGAAACTGTATCTAGGTACCAATAAAGTTAAAGTTTAAATGCAAATGTAAATATTTGAACATTATGTTAGTATTTATTTGAATGTATAAAGATCAGAATGGTTGTATACTTGTATTGAGAAGTGCTTACATGATAAAAAAACACATTTTTTTGCGGAGAGATAATAGATTAAATGTACAGATATTTAATCTCCCTCCTCTTCCTTCACAAACATGATCAAATTACACCACTGCATGTTTATGATAAATTAAGTATAATAATTATTTTAATAATAAAACTGATTTACTGCGAATAGTCAAAACATAGTAAAGATAAGTTAATTGATAAATTTGATTCTCTATGGTATAATATATAAAATGTTATTCATAGGATTCTACATATAGGTGATTCTTGATTATTTATTTATTATTACTCAGATGTACTAGTAGTTTAGGCGTTAGAAGTTTTAGGAATGGTTAGGTAAGTTCCGTAGTTCGATTCCTAACGTGTCTTTGGAACCGACCACTGTGACAACGTATTCCAGAACGTGGCCACCCAAATATTTTCTTTCGTACTTTTGGACATCTTTTTATGATTAAAAATATTTCCTGTTGGGTAGTCTTTAGGACTTATCTGCATTTAGACATTCGGTAGCTAACAGATATACTAAGGGCATTCCAGACAGGTCCGAAATTTAAACATTTTAATAAAACTTTCTATAAAGAGTTACTACGTATGAAAAGGTTGTTCCAATCCATTTCTAGGTGTGACTATGTACTGTTAAAGCATGCAATATAGGATATAGGGTAGGACAACATATTTTAAATTTTAAGTATAACGAAAAAGTTTTATAAAAATGTGTTTTTTTTTTGGAAAACACTTTTACTATTAGTAAAAATACTCTGATTTTTTCACGTAACTAATCAAAAGATGCAAAATTTCTAGCAAGGTATATTTTATATAAAACACTTATCGAAATTTCAGCAGTTCACTTCCAAGGTCCTTTTTATTTTCGTTTTTCTGGTTATTGTAAGCTATCTCAGCAACAATATAAAAACTACTTGACTAATACTACTCTACTCAGAATTGTTTTTCATATGTACACAGTTTATAAATAATATTACTCTGTATTTTTTTTTTTTTGTTACTTACTGTGTTGTTACAGCAACTTAACCTATCATTGTTTTCTAGTTTCTATAACAATGGAGTTGTCATTGATTTTCATATCAGTTTCAACAATTAATTGTAAACACTCAATACATATTGAAATATTTAATAGTTAGTTCAAATTGTATGACAACTGACAATATATATCAAATATAAAGGTAAGATAACTCATTTACTCATTCATTTAAGAGTTTTTTTGAAATTAGGTATAAAAATGTTTAAACGGCTCAAAAAATCTATTGGGAAAATTGATGAGTCAATAACATTCGATTTTTTACCACAAAATCATCCACATCGAAGTGTTTTTCCTACAGTATCACCAGTAAATTCAGAAATGGAAAACTCAAAATTGTGCTTTGATGATAAAATTGAAGAAATGCCAGAGAATTTCCCTGCTCGTGTTGCTGTTAGTGAAAGTACTACTGTTGATCTCGGTAAATACAGCCAGTCTTCATCATCTTCAGTAAATGATCATACTTCTTTTTATAATGATGTTGAATTATCAAGCGAATTAAATGATAGTGTTAGTGTTAAATCTAAAAATACAAATGAAATCATTGAAAAGCATGTGTATACTGCATATAAAAGACTTCATGGCCGTTATTATAAATATAAAATCAAGTACACTGATTTAGCTAATACATTGAAACAAACAGTGATGACACATGATAAATTTAAAATCATTATTTCAAAAGCTCAAGATAAACTACTTCAAAGGATTACAGAACTAAAAGAAGAGTGTAGCCTAGAAAAAGCTGCTAAAGCACACATGGAAGTTGCATTAAGAAATGATATAGAAGAAAAAGATCATTTAATATCAACTTTAAATACAAAAATCAATTTATTAAAACAAAATTGTTCTGATAAATGTGAATCACTTCCATCTAAAAATTTTGTAAATTTATTGGCTAAATGTGAACGATTAAATAAAGAATTAACTTTATTTAAATCAGATTGTGCATCACTTGAAAAGCAAATTAAATTATTAAAAGAAAATGAAGAAAGTACTCTGTTAAATTTAGCGGAAAATGAAATGGTAATTCATAAAGAACTTAAAACCAAAGAAGATCAGATAAAAAAATTAGAAAAGGCAATAAATGGACTTCAAAAAGAAAAGAAAATATTACTAAAAGAAAATGCTGAACATTCATCAACAAATTTATATCTGGGTAATATAAATCAGAATGTCCAAGAAAAATTAACCAAGCAACTTTATGAGCTAGAAGAAAAAATATCTTCAGCATTTGAGTTTAAGGAAAATGAAGTGAACGAATTAAAAAACCAATTAAAAGTTTTAGAAAAACGTTTTGAATTACAGGAGCAAAAAAATGTTTCAACGGGAGAGATTTTGATAGCTAAAGAAAAAGAAGTAAACGACCTTAAACTGGTTATTTCAAGATTAGAACAAATTTTAAATGATAATAAAGTTTCAGCTTCAAAGAAAATAGATACATTTTTAAAAGAAGTCGGAGAAAAATCACTAACAATTAAAAATTTAGCAAATCAATTGAAAGAAATGGATGAACTTAGACAAGATTATGAAAAAAATGAAAATGAAGTAGTTAGTTTAAAAAATCAAATTTATCAAACAAAAAAATTAATGAAAGACGGTGAATTGGCTCGAGTGGACGAACAAAATAAGTATATTAAAGAATTAAAGCAGAAATCAGAAGACATTTATAATTTAAAAGAAGAATTAAAATTATTAGAAATTTCCTTAAAAGATAACAAAAAAAAAAATACAGATCTTCGTATTTATTTTGATGAAATTAACTTAAAAAATAACAGGCTTGTAGAATCTGTAGAAGAATTAAAGTTGAAAATAATTAATTACAAAAAATCAAATGAAGAATTAGAAGATACTATTAAAGTAGTACAAAAAGAAAAAGAAATAGTCACTGAAACTACGAAAATTAAAATGGAAGAAAATCAATTAGAATACGATAAATTAAACAAATTATATAAGAAGATGTTAAGTAAATTAAATCAAGATAAATTAAATACAATTTATGAAGAACGTAGTATTGATTCTGTAATAGAAGATTATAACCTTCTTGTAGAAAAAAATGCGTATTTAATAAAAGAACGACAACAATTGCTTCAAACATTTCAAAATACAATACAAATACTAAATACCGATTTTGAATTTTTCAAACATTTTATAAAAGAGCAATTAACTGAATGGTTATTTATATTTTTCAAATATATAAAACAATTAAAATCGGAATATTCATTGCAAATCAAATTGTGTCATAATAATTTGATTGCCACAAAAAACAAGTTAGAATCAATTCAAAAGACATATTTCATATTAAAATCTGATTGCATTTACAATTTGAAACATTTTAAAACTGAAATTATTGAAAATTATGAGAAAATTATAATGTTAAGTTTATTTGAATATTCTAAGGAGCTTAAAAAAGAGAAAACTCATTTAACTCAACTACAGAAGGAAATTAATTTTAACAGAATAAGTGAACAACGATTAGTGAAAGAAGAAGTGAGGGAAACCATTCAAGAACTACAAGATTGTATAGAAGTACAAAAAAAAACATTTACTGACCTACAAAATGAATATTTTAATTATCAAGTGATTGAAAAGGAAAATTGGACAAATAAGTTAACACAAACTGAAAATAAGTGGTTAAAGAAAATGAATAACTACAAAAAATTGATGGATACAGAGCATAGAGAAGAAGTAGAAGCTTTAACTAATGAGTGGTCTAAGGAACGAAAACAAAGGCCAAATTTAGAGACTGCTGAATGTAAAAATGAAAAAGCACTTGAAAAAATCATTCAAGATGTTGAAACTACTTCACAACGAGAAGAAGTTTTACAACGCCAAGTAACTAGACTTGCTAAAGAACTTGGTGAATTAAAAAAAAATTACAGAAATGAAGTTTATAATAAACCTAGAACCAATGATATGGATGATGATAATAACAAAGGTGGATGTGAAATGGAATACTTAAGAAATGTTTTATACGAATATATGATGGGAAGGCAACCTATGGTTTTGGCAAAAGTGTTAGCTGCCATAGTAAAATTTGATTCCAATCAGTTGAACACTGTACTCCAAAAAGAAGAACAGAAAGTTTCTTTAACAAAAACTTTAGGCATGTAATATTAACTACCCAGAAGATATATGAAATTAAGTATACACATTATAATATTGTCATCACAAGTCACAACTATTATTGCACATCACATCATCACTACACTATCATCATTCCTTACATTTTTTTTTTTTTTGCATAAACAATTTGTACTTCAGAACAATTATTTTATGGATACATTATTTTGATTTTATATAATGTGTTTTATGTTGTTATCAAACTATGTAATTATATGTTAATACACAATCATGATATTTGTTATAATATAGAAGCTATTAAGCTAATAATTCAATAAAATAATTTTGTTTTAAATTTTGATTTTATGAAATGGGTAGTGACAAAAATGAATGTCCTAAAAGGGAAAACCGGAACGTAAACATGTTTATAAATTAAATTTGAATTTTAAATATTAATTTAGAAACGTATTAAATTATAGTTATAGCTTAGAAGAATTTAAATAAAAAACGTTTTTCATTGAAGTTATCGTGAACACAATATTAGTTACTTACTGGTTATTGTCGGATATTTCATTGCCAAGAGTTCTACCATAGCGTCCCCCACGAGAAAATAATATCACCACCGTCGAGTATACGCAAGTTTATTCTAACTTCTAATAATTGACTGATCTGAATGATTGAATGGATAACTTATAGTTATTGATTACTAATTATCACCTTTATTATCAGCATTTTAAAATATTAAAAAACTAATAGTCAGTACAAAATGTATTCTTTTGAATGTGGTGGAGTTAGGAATGTATTGGTTTTACAACGATGTTTTTTTTCTGTGAACAATTTTTCTACCTGCAATTTTGCTCCGATTTACAATGATAGCACTTTTTCTAAAAAGAAATTTGACTGGGGTGGTACTTAACATTTATTTATAAACGCCCGATGGACATAGAGTATAAAATACGTATAAATATTTCCAGTAAACACTATAGATACAAATAACAAGGAGTAACAAAAATAAGTCAAGTAAGAAAATAATAGACCTAAGAACTATATATAGAATAGAACTATTTTTCAAAAAATATTTCATCTCCAAGAAATAATTTAAAAAAAAAATTAAAATCAATAAGATTATTACCTAGAGTTGACATTCGATTAACCAATGCGAATATAGGCAATAATTACGTTTGCAAGTAGAACGAGATCGTGGATCTTAACGTTATGTATGGAACAAATTATATTAAGTATTTCAGGACAATCAATTTTGGATTTGAGTGAGTTCTATATTGCCTTCTAAATTCCAGACTTTCGATATTCCCATTGCAGTAAATGCGGATATCGCGTCTTTTTAATATTATCTAAATTCGATGTCTGTTTGAAAAACGTTCTGTTCTCCTAATTATCGCGATCGATTGATATTATTATTAGACGTATATTATCCTACAATATCTATTATACGGCGGCGTATCCGCTTATTAATAGACGACAGGAGGAAAAAAAAAGGTCAAACACTCGGAAACTTCGACTGTGATTAGAAACAACATGTCGGAAAAATAATCGTCATTTACCACGCGCCGCGGTCGTTTCCTGTCAGCCACAGTGAATTATCGGCACCGGACAAATGCCGTATACTCGCTGGTCTATATTATATACCTACACCTGCCTTTATAGTGCCTGTACGCGTGTATATAATATACTTAGGACCCGGCGGCGCAAAGTACCGCCCGTGTTTTTGTTTGGGAACGTTGACTTCGATTAACGAAATTAGATTCAGCCGGCCGTACTAATGTACCCGAAGTAATTCCCCTGGTAAGTTTTCGGTAATTCAATAGAAGCGGGCCGCGCGATTTTATCGAGAGGAGCCATTACACATACACACACACGAACGTACACACACATACATATATATATATATATATATACGATATTTTGTAATCGGAAACCGCCGTTTCAGTCGCGAATTACCGACTATATCGGTTAATCGGCTCTATAATATATTATAATATGTGAATAGGCCATTCAAAACGAACTAAGATTTTCCGTATTGTATACGCCCGTGTAATATAGGCACCGAAACTTATCATTAAATTCATTCAATGGCGTGTCAAGGAATTTCCAACAGAAGGAGAGTCTAAAGTAAATAATAATAATATCATCATGATTCAAGCATGAATCGTAGAATCTTCTTGTGTTATACATAATCTTACGGCGACGATTTTAAAGCCGGAACTAAAAAAGCCAATGTGTATTTAATAAATCAAGATTTCACTTGTAACTCGTCTGAAATGTATAATTTCAAGACAAAATTACTAAATATACGTTCATAGTTATGGTGTTTTTAAGCTTATAGAAACGGAGCGGATATAGCTACTAATTTCTGTTCCCTTGCGCGTGCGACGGAACACATCGATATCTGGACGTTCTCTCCACCGATCGTGGTCCCTGGTCTCCATCTCGTTATTCGTCCAAGTTATCCTTACGATCTTCATACGTCGTATCCAACCCACCTCAGTTTAGTGCTTTTTAAGATTCCTATATTATTCCTGTTTTTCGTATATATTTTTTTTCACTTTCTCGTTTATTTTTATCTTCCGATTCCCGTAGACATTTTTCTTCGGTCCGAGAAGAATTCTCCTTTATGTATACCCGTATTACAAGTAGTTGCCAATAAATTATTTTACTATTATTATTGCGGGACTTGAACTAATGTTCACGGTAGTCGTAAACATCTAGAATAGCAATACCTACACATCCCGCGTTTTAACTGCCTGACTATCATCACGGTTGTTGTTGTCGGCAGACGATAAATACGTACTTGATATAACTCGGAAAGACGCTCGCCGAAGTCTTGTTGCTTTTCCGAAAAGGGTCCGACGAATCTACGGTAAGGACTATATGATGTTTTGTGACGCGAAAAACCTTTAGAGAACGACGACGGCATCACCGTCGTCGCCGTTTCAGTCGTTGCTCACCTGGAGATCACTATAGTTTATGCACTATAGGTAATTTTACGGGAGGTTTTATCTTCGCCATCTGTGTGTTTCTTTCTGTTGTTAGCGGCGGCGGCGGCAGCGGCGGCGGCGGTCGGCGGTGCCGTTGTATAGTTGTTGTTGCTGTTGTTGTTTTGTTCGTTTCAAAAGTTGTTAATCATGACACCGGAATATCCTGGAAATTATATATAAATATATATATCGTGTCCAAGGGCTTAAGGGTAAACGAAGATTAATGGAAGCCGGGCGCGCGAGGCACTGGTTGCTGGTGCTGCTGGTCGGCGGGCGTGCGGACCGTGGAGGTATTACGAATATAATTAAACTATGACGACTGGAGGGCGGACAACGAGACGACGACGGTTGTATTATGATACGCCGCGGTGGTGCAAAGGGTCGACCGCGTGTTAAAGAAATTAAGATGTTAGGATCCATAAACCTAGGGATTAATTTTTTTTTTCTCTCGCTTGTTTTTAGTTGATATTTATGTATTTCCCAAACGAAAACTCGACGGGCGCAACGCGAAACAAAAGGCCACTGGATTCCTCTCTTTTATTTATCTTTTTTTTTAAATATATATGTATACGAGTAACAAAAGAATTAACGACCTTCTCGTAAACCTTCCGCTAGCTTATATACATATATTATTATTATTATACGCGGAAATATCCTACCTACTTACTCTTCTCGTTCTCTTCTCCTCTTCCCTTTCTCGATTGAAACTAAAAACGAAAAATATTACATAAATTCTTTGTTCGTCGCTTGTGTATACATAACCTTACTAAGTCAATTACTGTATTTATAAATACGGATTTGGATAATTATTTCCCCCTTACAAAGGACAGACGGTGGCAGTGGCGTAATTTGGACTAGGTCTTGATGGCGTGGTAGATAATTGTTGAACATTTTTTAGGAGTGCTATGAACTTACAAGCTGACGATTGTTTTAAAAGGATAGCGTTTAAAAATAAAAAGGTCATCAAATCTATTATATTATAATACATTGGCTTATAATTGCACAAGAAAGTTATTAATAGCTGGATAATTGGAGGATAGAATTATAGTACTATACTATAATATAGTAGTAGTATACTATATTATAGTACTATACTATAATATAGTAGTAGTTTACTATATAGTAGTATACTCTTGACCTTCTGCGATCTTAGTATTTCGTCGCATAGAAACGTATTTCTACAGAATATTTTTCCACCAAAAATCTTGTTCCAACATCATAGGATAGATTTTTATTAGAAAATTCCAGCATTGAGAAGGTCATTTTTTTAATTTCTTTGTAATTTGTTTAATAATCGGAAAAAAATTTGGAAAAATGGAATGCAAAACGAATTTATGAAATTACAGTTACCGTTATTTTCGTTTTTGTATTTGCATTATAATTCGGTTAAAAATAATCGTAAAGACCTAACATTTACATAGAATACTTAAATTAACCCTTTCATGATACATTCTAGCTATTTGAGAGAAACTTTTAAAGACATCTGAAATTTGTCGAGGGTTTTTTTTTTTTTAGTTTTTATTTTTTTATAATAAATGAATAAAATTGTTTCCTTGAAAATGTTATACTATATTTTATTCGCTAAAATATATATAATATTATAGTCCGTAACGGTATAATATGAATTATTTATCTATAATAATAAAAGCTTGCAAAAAAAAAAATAACACCTTTATTTAACACGGAGATGACAATACTGGAAAATTCAAGAGAAATGCCGTGTACCATTGATTATATTATTATAACACTCTCGTTGGCCCGAACATTCGTGTATTCGTGTTAAATCAAGTTAAAATGATTTTATTATATTATAAAAACTGCAACGGTGTTCAAAATAACTCGAGTAAATAATAATGCATTTATATGACGTGTCGTGTTGCGCAATATCTATTGCGTTACAGAGAAGGATCGTATAAATATTATAAATTCTAGAGTCTAGATGTACGAAAATATCAATGTGTTTGTTATTTACACGTTACAAATAAAACAAACGGCAGATAATTTCCAGTTTAATATTTATGATAAATGCTATAATACGTACAAACTTAAATTCGC